CAGAAGTTTTCTTGGATCTGATTTTTATTGGGCTTTTCATGTTTGGGTTTTAGCTCCATTTCAAAGGTCACAGCCCAAAATTCCTGGATTCCTGTGGTTTCTATTGCGCATTGCATATTTGGGTTTTAGCCCAGTTCAGTAGTTAAAGCCCATGTGTATGTCCATTATTCAGGAGAAAAAGCCTTTAAACGGACGAATCGTATAGCAGAGAACCGTACAAGATTTACGCCCCCGCGGCTACCGTTGGCGCCATTATTCGCTCAACTGGAAGTGGGAAACCTCGATTCTTGCTCTGCCTCTCTGTAAACTGTAGAAACAGGAGAACGACAATGGCGGAGATACTGACGCCGATGGACATTGATGAAGAAACCGGCGAACGGAGCAACAATCACTACCAGAGACCAAACAAGGGCAAAAATGTCGTCGTCACTGACACTAAAGCTACTCCCTGGGTAGAAAAGTATCGCCCTTTGTCCCTCGCCGATGTCGCCGCACATCGCGACATCGTTGACACAAGTACCCACTCTCTTTTCCTAGCTGGGTTTTTTTCTTTTTTCTGTTTGTTCTTAATTTTCCTCTAAAAATTCAATCTTTGTCTTAGGATTTAGGTTTTGTTTCCCAAAATGTTGTAAAAAATCGTTCTTTTAATAGATTTCGTCTTTTTTTATGTGGGTTTAGTTGACAGGCTTACCAGCGAGAATAGATTGCCTCATCTTTTATTGTACGGCCCTCCTGGTACGGGCAAAACCTCAACCATTCTGGCTGTGGCTCGCAAGCTGTATGGAGCACAGTACCACAATATGATTCTGGAGCTGAATGCCTCGGATGATAGGGGTATCGATGTTGTGCGCCAACAGATCCAAGATTTTGCCAGCACACACAGCATCTCGTTTGGGTAAATTATTTGCTCAGCTTTATCTTATCTATGTGGTTAAATTTCCCCATTAGAACTGCAAAGTGGCTGGTGCGCAATGTGCTCGTGTAATGGGCATTCTTGCATTTAGATTCAAAAGATCGTTGTATGCTTTTCAGTTTTCATTTACCATCAAGTTGTTTGCAGTGCAAAGTCGTCAGTGAAGTTGGTCTTACTCGATGAGGCAGATGCCATGACAAAGGATGCACAATTTGCCTTGCGTAGAGGTTTAATTCATTTTTCACCCATTTATCTTTTCATTTTGTTGGTTTCCCTGATAGCTCTGGTTTCAATGCTTGTTTCTGTTGCAGTGATTGAGAAATACACAAGGAATGCTAGGTTTGCTCTTATCTGCAATCATGTCAACAAGATTATTCCTGCACTGCAATCCAGATGTACTCGGTTTAGATTTGCCCCTCTTGAACCTGTTCATGTCACTGAGCGACTGAAACATGTTATTGAGGCTGAAAGGCAAGGGCTTTCTTTTTTATTTTGTCATTTATTAATTCATATGTGATTTTGGTCAACTTTGGGTGGGGTGGTTATAGGAAGAATGTTACAACTTCATGAAGGGTGACCTTTTGCTGGCCAATGTATAACAACGGCCTATGCTGTGTGCATTATACATGTACAATTTATATATATTATTTTGCTTGACTTTATATTTTTTTATTATTAATTGTTGATATGCTTCATCTATCTGTTGTTCCAGACTTGATGTAACTGACAGTGGCTTAGCAGCACTTGTACGACTTAGCAATGGTGACATGAGAAAGGCTTTGAACATTTTGCAGGTTTTAAGATTTCTCACTCATATATTGCTTCTGGTGTATGTTGGTGTTATGTGTATATTTCTTGTTTTAGTATTGTTCATCTCAGAGACAAGAGGTTGTTACTTAATGTTTCTCAAATTTAAGTTAATGGCACTTAATACTGCAAAAGTATTCTGCTCGGTTATTAGGTTGTAATGACACCATTTAATGAATGAGTAAAATTTGGAATGCATACACAACATCTGCACTTGTTGGCTTTCTTATGGATAAGTGGGTACTGGTGCTTAACATTTTGTTTGAGGAAGAGTATTTCAGTTAAAATTTTATTAATTAAATTTTAAAAGTAAGATAGAAGACTATAGATCATCATCCATTGTTTTGCCTGGTGATAGGGGATGTTTTGAATTCTGTAGCAGAACTTGGTACTTTTGTGACTGCTTTTGTCAATGTTGCTTGAAACAATGTTGAGTTTTTATAACTCTTTAGTTTTAAAACAGTTATCAGTTATCACATCTTATATTTAATTTTGTTGATTACCTTTGCATGGAAACACTGTAAAGTGTTGCACAATTGTACATGGTAAAGTTTGGTGGAATTCTTTGCTCTTGCATCTCTTGATTCCAGGCTGCCAGTATCTCTCTTGGGCTTCTTGTCAGAGAGAAGTCATGTTTCATGCTAGCATGATCCTTTTTCTTCTTTTTT